ACTGATTACAGTTATTTATTTTCAGCCCACATTATAATGCCAAGCGAAGTATTATATAATATAAATTTTTAGAGAAACGCAGAAGCTTTTACTAAATTATTATTTTCCTTTGTAACACACCTTTCCCTGCTGTCAATTCAGTACCATTGGATTAATTAATTTACTTTGTAAGGGTTGCGAAGAAAATATTGCTTGGAAATCTTACGAGGTAGTCCTGCTGACGTTACATGGTGTATTCCAGAATTATGGATTATTATCCCTATTGAACTTTTTCTTAGTTCAAGTAGTAGCAAACCAATATATCTTGAGAGGCATTCCCTTGGGGGAATAAAGATTCGGAAGTCTCTAATGATGATATTATGGAAACTTTGTTTCGACAAAAAGTAGACTACTTCGACTTCAGCAACAAAAAGAATTCTGTAGATGATCAAAGTAAATTTATAACTGAGAAATTATTCATTTAATCTGGCATTTGGTTGCATTCATATGCAGCGCGAGGCATTTAAAATAGACCACTTGAATAATTCACTCCTTTTTAGCGATAGAAAAAAAATGTCGAACAAGAGTTGTTTGATTTCGAGTGTTTTTTTTTTTTTAAATAGAAAGTTAATAACAGCAAATTAAAAAAAAAAACTTAAAATGTTAAAACAGCAAGTACACAGAGAAATGCCAATAACCAGAGAAGATATGAAGGAGCGAATAAGATGAGCTTCTTGCATTCCAATTGATCTAAATGAAGATCATCGTGGAGTGTCTTCTACATTAACACGTGTATAGGACAATTTATTGTTCTAATTTATTTAGTAACAATTTATCTTCTATTACAGCCAATCTGTGTAATGTTGAATAACTTTCAACTATAGGTCATTGTATTCGGTTTGAGACGCTCTATCAAAATATGTATGATAAACTATATGATTCTATTTAATAGAGAGAGTCGAACTTCAAATCTCCTTTACGGTTCCAACAGTAAAACAGTTATTGGCTCCATGTTACGTGCTCCTCGAAATCAACCAACTCTTGTTCAACACTTTTTTTGTTCAATTAAAGTGCTACTTGATTGCATTGTCAAAGTATTCAATTAATGTGCCACTTGATTGCGTTAACTATTTATTACACTGAATTTTCATTTTAAAAATGTAGGTTAAATTATTAGTGTAAAAGGAGGCTGTAGCACAAAATATACAATATGTGGTTTATCACTGCTTCTACATCAAAAGCGTGTATAACAAAAGTTGTTGAAAATTAAATTTAGAAACTCTTTTGTCGTATACAAATTTTTAATAAAATCGATAGTCGCTGAGATATCGACACATTTCGGCCTATCGTCAATTCCACACGTGGGTGAGCAGTAAAAACAACTGAATTAAAAAAATATATAGAATAGTAAACACATAAATCATTACTTTATTTAAACAATACTTCTTATTTTGGATAATGTCAGATAATGTCAGATAATGTAGCTAGTTACCAAGTGAAGTATATTTATGTGACAAAATAAACGATTTATAATAGTTTAGAAATATGAAATATCTAATAGCTTTCTAATAGCTATCTAATATCTAATAGCTATGTAATAGCTGAAGTTATGGTTCAGTTATTTACTAAAATATTATGCGCACACCTCAATCATGTATTGTAATTGTGTACAACAAATTACTGCATAGCAACTACATACACAGTGGAGAATAAATTACGGGCACTTGTGAATTTTCTAGTTTGAAAAAATGTAAAACGGAATGTTGACTACAAACTATTGGTGAAAGAGATGCGGTCTCCGCAGTGCCATGAAAAATCAATCGCTGGGAAGTAAAACGGTGGAAAGTGTTCATGTTAACATACAGAACAAATCAGCACTTAAAACCTTTCGTTAACGTTTGGAGTTTTATTTGAAAACTATATTTTGGGATATTTGAAATAAATTTAATAGTTGTAGGATAAAATAATTCATACAAATTTATGCTAGATATCATTTAATTTATTCATTTAAATGTACATTTCATTCTCTGTTTACTTCCTCTTGAAAAAATTATGAAAAATTCTTATTCAGACTCTTCAAATAAACTGATATTCGTCGTGGAGGTTCTTAACCTTTTAAAAATAGATTCTATCGATTAAACATAGTTTCCAAATACACGATATTCCAGTGGCTTTCAGTATCTTTCGGTGACCTGCATTTGATATCATTTAATGATCTACAGTTGATCTTCAGGATCTCTCAAAGACCTTCAGTATACTCCAGCGTTTTTCAATATCATTTAGTGTCCCTTACTATTATCTAGTGAACTTTAGCGTTTTTAGTTTTGCGCCAACTAAGAGAAAAAGTTATTTAACATAATATAAAGGAAATAGAAATTTAATATATTATTGAATATCATTTAATATGAATGAAATAGAAATTATTTCATACTTTTTAGTGCAATCTTAATATTTTTTAAAGTCGGTTATATTTTTTTTCCAAAAATTATATTATTTCACTCTTTTTTCAATATCTTCCTGTAATCTTCAACATCTATCGGTTTCGTCCAGTGACCTTCAGTATCCTTACATATCGTCCAGTGACCTGCAACCTCATTCGTTATTCTTCAGTCATTTTTAACGTCTTTCAGTATCATTTAGCGGCCTTTAACGTCTTTCAATATCCTTCAGTGACCTTATGCATAGTTATATTCGTCTTAACATCTGCCATCCATCGATTACTATACGTTCTAAAACAGACTGTTTATCAACTCGACAACTTACGCCTACTTTTCGTAGCTCTAAAAAGTCCAGTAAGAAATATTTTCTAAACAAAATTATCTATGATATACATCAGAGTAAATAAATTTGTGATTAATATTTTTAGTCACAATTATCACTCAAAGGATTCGATTTTATGGATTTTTCTTATTGTTAGTTCAATGGTTTTTACTATAGTGGAAAGTGCATCCCAGAAACAAGTTAAAAAGAGGATTAATCAACAAGTATCGAAAGATAATTAATCTTCAGCTGTCGGTTTCTATAAAGTGGTTTTCGATGTAACGCTTGTTGATGGACACGATGCTGACCACTCACTAGAAGAAAAATCAACTAATTTGATAAAGCATGTTACTGTAGTTAATATACAACAATCGTATAATTATAAATTATGAGTTGAAAAAAAATAGTCATCTTTGCGAACAGGAAGAATATGTTTAATATTATTTTCGGTCAATATTATTGTTTGAAAAAGGTGCAGAGGTACCATGATCATTAATAAATGATACATTAAAAATGTAATTATTTATCAATATTTGGTAATATTTGTTTTTAATTCTACTGTTTGTTGTTTGCGAACAACTCTACTTTCCACCAGTGTAACAGATTTTTCAAAGACATTAATTAATTTTAAAAATTCATTAAAATGGAGCTTCACCTTGAGTGAAGCATGCATCTAATTTAAAAGAATGAATAAAAATAATAATTACGACCAAATAGCAACCTTCTCTTTATCACGCAGTTCCCGTAGAATAAACCTTCCACTAACGGTTAGAGTTTAGAAAAATTAATATTTCGCTACCCAGTGTATTAACGATGCAAGGTGAGGAGTCCAGAGAAGGTATCCTTCAGGATTATTCTTGGGAGGTCAAATCAACGTGATTGATGTGGCTTCGTCGACCCTATCCTCCAAAGTATGGATTTTTCGGCGTCCATCTTTGACGTTGAGATTTTCTGCTTCCTCGATAGCACGATTGTCGCATTTCGATGGTTCATCTGCCAAATTAGATTTGGAGATTAATTGTTACTACTTTGTTGCTCCAGTAATAGACGATAATACTGTATTTCAATTTCTGATTGAATGAGAAATAAGTCTGCTTCTACGATTTAAAGGTGTAAGGAAGACTTGAAATTCAGGTGTGTTTAGTTAAAGGTATTTAAATAATGGCCAACAGATAGAATCAGTATATGGCAATTTATTCACGACGCTAATTCAAATAAACGTAACAATTTTAATTTATTTATTTCATTAACTTAAATTTTCTTTTCTTTTTTAACAACCAATAATTTGTAACAAATCATTCAGTTGTCTTGTATATAATTGCTCGAAATTATTAATTTGATAACTATTTTCTTGTTCCATTTCCACATCAATTTGTACCGTATATTATAGTTTGGGCCACCATAGATAATTAAGTCTGCCAATTGACAAACAAACTATATTTCTTTTTTATCCAAAAAATGGAGACAAATGGGGTTACATGCATGGCCAGAGATTTACAATGTTTCCATGACCATGTTTTTCCCAAAGGTATACACGGCACCAGGGAAAGTGCAGATGCATCTCTTCTTTGCCATTTTTATCTTTTATACTCTTTTTCACAAAAAAATCAACCAGGCCGAATATTCCGTGCACGATCATTCGACAGGAAAGTTTATTTTGAATTTTAAAACACGAACTTTTCGCAAGACTCGTGTAGAATGGTTTGCGAAGTTAGGGTATCACTTTTATGCATCGTAAATTTCATATTTTCCTTTACTTTGACGTGTGACACTTCAATTCGTCAAATTAGAATCGCACATGACTGTGATAAAACAAAGATGATATTATTATTCAAAGGACGTAATGTGCTTATTTCTCTTTAATTGAAAATATACACGTTGTTGTTTTAATATTATTTTCAAAATTTGACAGAACATAATATATATTATATATACATATAAAAACAAAAACGTGTATACTTTAAATTATATTTATATATATTATATATACATATATATATATATATATTTATTTATTATTTTCCTTGTTAGGAAACTAGTCGTATATATAACAGATCAGTGTAAGTATTGATTATTTTCCTTTGTTTTGTTTATTTTGTCAATTAATTAGTTGTTACTATTTGTCATTAAATATGATATTCCAGAAAACTTCGGCATATATATCCCTAATAGTGCTATTCGTACAAATATCCAATTAAGAATAGAATTGTTCCGTGAGAGAAGGAACCGAATAAAACTTTCCTCTCTCCTTTGTGTTGCAGACAGATTACGATCGTCACTTTGAAGAATTGTTGGAACGTACGGAAACATTGTTAATCAGAATTCTGAGGAAGAAACTGAAGAAAGAAAATTTGGATCAGGTGGCCTATTTACATGGCCTTCTGGAAAATGTTCGACATTTATCCAAAGGTATATTATGACACAGCACCCGTACAAATCATTTTTAATTTAATACACTCAATTCTACGCGAAAAAAATCCTTAATTTGTTATTACTTTTTGTAAATTTAACAAATTCATAAGGGAAGTTTGTTCAGTAAATGTTTTAATTAAGAGAAAATACAAAATTGAAAGATAAAGTACAAAAATTACAAACAATAAAACAATAAGTATAGTAATAAGAAGATATGATGTGTGTGAAGTTAGCCCCGCCCTTGTCGAATTTTTGATTTTTTTAAATTGTGCTACGTTTGTACCGTATTGTGCCGTAAACCGCAACTCTGTAAGTGAAAGCATACTCAAGAAAATAGAACAAAACAAAATTTTTGATAGCTCCGCACTTTACGAATTTTGTCGTGCTTTTCTATAAAAAGATGCGTATTATCTTGTGCTACATCGTGCCATTGATAGAAACTCGATATCTGTATTCATTTAGCAGATAAAAAATGTTGAATTTTAAGGAATAACAAATGTAATATTCGGACAATTTGCGAACGGCGACAGATAATCGAATTTTGCAAGTTGTGCTAAATTGTGCTACTTACAATACACGAGACACGTGCGTTAAAAATTGAGATTACCTCGAGGGTCAACAAAAATTAACACAAAAAGGTGAGGGTGATTATAAATTTTGATATTTTCGAATTTTCTTTGATTGTGCCGGATTGTGCTAGACCAGCACAAGATACGTCTGCTGGATGAGATTCCTACCACTAGGGAAGGCTGGGCCAACAGAGGGTGTAGTTCTCTGTCAGATGAAAGTAATAATTTTGAATTTGGTTCGAATATAATTGGTTGCGATTCAAACATTGCCATGCATCGGGGGTACCAAGTCTGAGAAGGCCAGTTGGGTACCACTAGAATACCTCTAGCTCTATCATTATTAATCTTTTTTAGCACCTTCGGAATGATCGCAAAAGGTGGAAACGCATAAAAGAATTTACTGCTCCAATCGATAGTGAAGGCATTTATTGCAATCGCGTTTGGGTCTTTCTTCCATGAGACATAAATCAATACTCGGTTTTCCGAATTTTTTACAGATTTCATTGAAAACTGTTTGTGCTATTTGAAATTCTGTCTCAGGTTCAAGTCTTCTTGATTCAAAGTCCGCGATTGTGTTTTCTTCGGATTTTATACATGACGCATAAATTGAAAGGTTTCTCTCCTTACACCATTTCCAAATCTCTTTCGCTATCTTACTTAACTTCTTAATTTGCGTTCCTCTCATATGATTAATGTAGGCAATAGCGGTGGTATTGTCTATTCTTAACAGAATATTACAATTTCGTTTGTCTTTTGCAAAACATCTTAGGGCGAAAAAAGCAGCTAACAACTCGAGATAGTTAAATGTGGTTATTCCTATCTGTGTCACTCCAATGTCCGTGTGTTTTCTCCCCTTTGACGCATGCTCCCCACCCTGTTAAGGAAGCATCCGAGAATATTTCCATACAAAATTTTTCCATTACGACGGAATGAATTGCCGTCATCACGATGGTCTTCCACCACGTGAAGTCCTCCTGAGTGTTTTGCGATATGACCATCCAGGCTTCAAAGTTTTCGTGGCTGTTTCTAAGAGCGTGAAGTTTTTCGCGCTCTAAATCTTTTAGATATGCCCAGCCGTATTTCACTGCCTGGCAACACGAACTTAGTGTACCTATCATTGATGCAAATTCTCGTATTTTACAAGTACGTAGATTTTCGAACATTATCATTAATTCAATTATGGCTAGTTTCTTGTCTATTGGAAGTTCGATTTTCATCTCCCTTGAATTTAAAACGAACCCCAAAAATTTGCATTCTGTAGATGGACTCAACTGACTCTTCGACCGATTAATAATAAAACCCAGACTCTCTAAGAACGCGCATGTTTGAGAAATATTATCAGTGCATTCTGTCTTGGAATTTCCATGAAGCCATATATCGTCTGAGTAAATTACTGACGTATATCCGCGTTGTCTGAGTCTAGTTATTACCGGTTTCATTAGTTTTGTAAAGCAGTATGGTGCAGTATTTAAACCAAAAGGTAAACACGTGAACTCATAGTGTTGTCCATTGAATCGAAAACGCAGATATTTTCTGTGAATTTGTGCTACCGGTAAAAGGTAATATGCGTCTTTCAAATCGATTGTTGCCATGAAGCAATTCTGCAGCATCAAATCCTTTACCGTTCGTATATCCTCTAATTTGAAATGTATTGTCTTAATGAATTTATTCAGATTATTAAGGTTTAGAATAAGACGATAACAACTATCTGGTTTAGGTATCAGAAAAAATTTTTATATGTACTGTTCCTGCACGCCATAACAATTTCGAATTACCCCATTTACCCCAAAAAGGTATCTTGTACCCACTAACTCACTCAGCGATACTGTTGGTGACACCATTTTTTTCCCAAGCAGGTACGATCTGTTTTAATCTACCCGCCGTGGCGCTTACCTGATTTCTTACTTCTTGTAGTAATTCGCTCGCCCCCTCGTCGACACCTTGTGATAGTTCGAGGTTCTTTGTTTGTATTTCTGATTGTTGTAGCTCTGGTACGCTGGTTTGTGTTGCCCGGTTACAGACGATCTGCGACCTCGTGTTGATTGTCAGTTCGGACCCCTCGAGTTTTTTGAATTGTGCGTAGAGGTTTTTTCCCCCGGTTTCAATTCTTTCGACGATCTTTCCAGCGACTTCGCCGCCTTCAAGGTTTCTTCCAGATCCTTTTCAAACAACCATTCATCCAGATTCGTGGCATTCAACGTATCTTTCATGGCTGCATTAAGGTTTGCTAGAGTAATGAGGCGTCTCGTTTTTGACTCTTCTCGTTGCAGGTCCACGAGAATTCTTGAGATATCGCTCAAAACAGTTAACAGCGATATAGAGTCCAGCACAACTCCCTTAAGGAGACTCGAAATGAGAGGGCCCAAACCCGAGAGACGCAACGAAACTCCTGTTGCTTTTCCACTATTCGATTATCTCTTGTTATAATCGGCTCGAGAAGCGACGCTTTAACCTCTGGATTCAGTTTTGGCGGTTCCATTGTCAAACAATTCTCAAGAACCGGATATTTCTTGAATATCTCTTCCCGTTCTTCTTTGGGAAGTCCTCCTTTGAGAACAGCTTTCCATCTCACGAGAAGGTCGTTGTGTATAGCGTTGTGAATATTTTTCCCCATCCGGGCATTTACCTATTGCTTGCAACAATTTTTCATCGAGAATTGGATCCTTGTCCGCTTCTGATGTTTTTTCTCCTTTGCTATAGTCTTCAGTTTCCACCGAAGTTCCGGCATGTTCTTGGTTTTTCTCAACTGGTAACGAAGTTGACAGTGCGAGAATCTGTGGAGGTTCCTTTGTCTGCGGCTTTACAATCTCGAAATTTGTGATTTTCATCGAATCGTTTCGACCAAACTACAGCTGATCTAATGGTATCAGTGGAGTTCTTTGACTCCCGCATAATGAGGAATCAAACTCTTCTGACGAGGACCTCTTACCTGTAAAATATATACATGTGGTAATTTCATTGCTTGAATGCTTTATATAACATAAAATTGTGCGATGCCGAAGCTAAATATCCGATAATTGTTATTGGTACAGATCTTGTCTGCAGTTATTTTCGAAATTTGTTCTGTAACCAAAATCGCAGATCTCGTCTGTGATTTTTTGTCGAAACTTGTTCGATCAGTTGTATTACAGATCTTGTCTGCCTTATTTTCGAAACTTGTTCGATTAGTTATATTACAGATCTTGTCTGTCATTATTTTCGAAAACTTGTTCGATAGAATATATATCGCAGACCTTGTCTGTCCTTATTTTCGAAACTTGTTCGATTAGTTATATTACAGATCTTGTCTATCATTATTTTTGAAAACTTGTTCGATAGAACATATATCGCAGATTTTGTCTACCTTGACTTTTCCCGACACTTGCTCGGTCTGTCGAACCGAGGAATTCCCCGACGCGACCGTATATGAACAGAATTGAGGTTATGCTTACTTTTCTTCTTTAACCGGCTCTAATCGTTTGAGCTCCTTTAATACATCGATGTCATCATTTTCTTCTGCTCAATTACACTTCTTTCCCATGCTTATTACTTCTTAATACACAGTTCAAGTTTTTACGATGTGGTGTTCTTTGGCACAAAGAAAAGGAATGATGGATTTGGACCGGGCGCCGGGGACTACGAACTCTAGCGCCGGTGAAACTTTTTGGAACTATAAACGTTGCGGCAAGCCTGGTATAAAGTAGGGTACTACCATGTGATCTGAGGAGAAGGCGTGGAATACAATTGGATGTATGCGTACCCGTGTATTTCGATGCACGTGTACGTACTTCGATATCCGTGCATTTCGATACCCGTGTATTAAATATAATATATTCATGTGTTTCGTGTACCCGTGTATTTTAATAACTGTTCAAAACCGTGATCTCTAATTAGTATTGTCTCGTTCTGTCTTCTTTTGTTATTCACCGTCCTTTTCTACGTTCGAAGCTGCCGGCAAAGATCAAACAATGTGGGAACTCTATGATAAATGCATACTTTCAGTTCCGTACTTGTGCATTTACCGAGGCATTACTGTACTACGCTACACGTGACCGCGTGCGAATCCGAATGCGAATTCCTAACGTCTGATTCCTAACTTTGCCAACGCTGCGAAATCTGGCGATCTGACGAGATTTTGTAATTAGGAAAAGTTGTTGTGCTGGTCTAGCACAATGCGACACAATCAAAGAAAATTCGAAAATATCAAAATTTATAATCACCCTCACCTTTTTGTGTTAATTTTTGTTGACCCTCGAGGTAATCTCAATTTTTAACGCACGTGTCTCGTGTATTGTAAGTAGCACAATTTAGCACAACTTGCAAAATTCGATTATCTGTCGCCGTTCGCAAATTGTCCGAATATTACATTTGTTATTCCTTAAAATTCAACATTTTTTATCTGCTAAATGAATACAGATATCGAGTTTCTATCAATGGCACGATGTAGCACAAGATAGTACGCATCTTTTTATAGAAAAAGAAGTTTGTTTCGACAAAAGTACGGGGCTAGTATAATTTTGGTTTTATTTCTTTTCTTAATTGATATTGATGTTATCAATCTCTCATTTACGGCACAATTCGGCACAAATATAGCACAATCTGGCACAAAAAAGAAAAACTCAAAATTCGTAAAGTGCGGAGCTATCAAAAATTTTGTTTTGTTCTATTTTCTTGAGTATGCTTTCACTTACAGAGTTGCGGTTTACGGCACAATACGGTACAAACGTAGCACAATTTAAAAAAATCAAAAATTCGACAAGGGCGGGGCTAACTTCACACACATGAAGATATGTCATAATAATAAATAATCATAATCTATTGTATTTTATATTTAGTAATATTGCCTTGTAAATGGACGAATTTGATTTATTTATTTTAATTTTATCGATTTCCAAAGAATAAAAATAAGAATCTTGTTGTATGCTTCACTGATAAACACTTCAATGTTCAATTATTAAAACTCCAATATTCACATTTAGTATTGTTAACTTCCACTGTGTAAGCGTACTTTTGTTATTGACAATTCTGTTTATTGCATTCGTTTTATTGAAAAATTTCTAATGGACTATTTACTCGCATACATTTTGAACTTCGTCGGTCATTGTTTGTGGATTGTAAATCATTCAACTTAAACTGGAGATTTCGAAAGTTCAATGTAAAATCAGTGTGTACGACTGGCTTTCCTGTTCGTTTTTGTTCGATTTGCGAATGTTTTATGCAACGGAGTTTCATTCGAATGCAGATGACGGAAAAACAACGGGGGCGACATTGTTAACGGAAACGAAGCTATTTCTGCGTAAAACCGAGGAATTATCGAGGCTCGTGTCAGCCATGAAAACATTGGAGGTTTCCTGCCAATCGGAGTTGCAAGAAATCGAGGAAAAACTGACCGATCTATCGATCGCCGTGGAGAAAGACAAATGTTTGAACGCTGGTGGAAAATTCGAGTGGGTGGACAGTGTTCTTGTGAAGGTAAACATTTTTTTTTCCTACTTTACAACGCTACATCCATTCAAATGAATCTTGAGAATATACAGTGTGTGTAGAAAGTATTCGTACACCGATCAATTTCCAAAAAGCTATGTGAAATTGTAATTTATTAACTTTTTTTTTATAAACAATAATATTCTACATATTCTTGGAAATCTTTAGAATAGATAGAGTACAACAAAAAATAGCTATTTATGTAAGTTGCGAAATTAGCAAGAAAAAAACAATTAATCGATAGAAATATTGAAGCAATAAGTATTCGCACAACTGTTTAATTTTTTAAACTTCATTAAAAAAAAATTTTTTTTGTGAAAATGAGTATAAAAGAAAGAATAGCAAAGAAGAAATGCATCTGCACTTTCCCTCGTGTCGTGTGTAACTTTGGAAAAAACATGGTCATGGAAACATTGTAAATCTCTGGCCATGTATGTAACCCCATTTGTCTCCATTTTTTGGATAAAAAAGAAATATAGTTTGTTTCAATTGGCAGACTTAATTATCTATGGTGGCCCAAACTATAATATACGGTACAAATTGATGTGGAAATGGGAACAAGAAAATAGTTATCAAATTAATAATTTCGAGCAATTATATACAAGACAACTGAATGATTTGTTACAAATTATTGGTTGTTAAAAAAGAAAAGAAAATTTAAGTTAATGAAATAAATAAATTAAAATTGTTACGTTTATTTGAATTAGCGTCGTGAATAAATTGCCATATATACTGATTCTATCTGTTGGCCATTATTTAAATACAATTTATTTTATTCAGTTTTTTTGTATAATAATTTTGTGTAATAATTCTCACGTTTAAGATTTTTATTGTTCATTTTATTTAAACAAATGAGGTTCATTTTTCAAGCCTTCTTTACATCTCTAAATTGTAGAATGAAAACTGGCCACCAAATAAGCTTGACTCTTAAAATCTCCTTTACTCCTCCTACGTTGTACAATGGAAATTATTTCCCATCATGTAATATTAATCACTCAATACATACAGTGGGTGTAGAAAGTATTTGTACACCGATCAATTTCCAAAAAAAACTATGTGAAATTGTAATTTATTAACTTCTTTTTTATAAACAGTGACATTCTACATATTCTCGGAAATCTCTAGAATAGATAGAGTACAAAAAAGAAATAGCTATTTATGTGAGTTGCGAAATTAGCAAGAAAAAAACAATTAATCGATAGAAATATTGAAGCAATAAGTATTCGCACAACTGTTTAATTTTTTAAACTTCATTAAAAAAGAAGAAATTTACATTAATTTATAAGTATATAATACTTCCTTCGTGGGATTTCCTTTTGATTTTATAACTATTGTAACTCCATTAAGCATTAAATTAACTAAATTATTAGTTATTGGAAGTGGGATCTTCTTCCATTCCTCTATTAGAGCCATTTTTAAAAGTATTTTACTGGAAATTTGATGTTTTCTAATTCGTACGAACCAATAAACTAATGTGTTTACGTTACAAACTCTACTGTAAATGGTTCGTTATAAGAATCGTGCAAATACTTATTGCTTCTATGCTTTTACCACACTTTTTGCATTTTTTTGTTAACATCACAAATTATATTGACTAGTAAATGTTGTTTGGACTATATCTATCTTAGAAACTTCCGAGAATATATAAAATATCATTGATTATAAAAAAGGAAGTTAAGAAACTACAATTTCACACAAAAGTTTTTTGGGGAATTGATCGATGTACGAATACATTCGACACCCACTGTACATAGGAACCATGAAAAGGGATGATTGTGTTACCGTGCTGTGAAAGTTGTAATGCTGTACAGTTAATTAAAGAATCAATCGCTGTAATTTTCACAATAATAATAATTCTCGATAAAGTGTTTGAAGCAGACGTGCTGTTTGCACCACGAAGGTTTTAAAGAAACTACATCGTCACAAGAAGATTTACTGGTTTTTGAAACTCTTCTGTCTTAATATCGGTGTAGCCTTTTTGAAACCATAGGTATTTAAATAAATTTTTATATCTCCATATATGCAAATGGAAAAAAGTATATCACTCCATTTATGAAATAACAAATGTATAAATATAAATTCATAGTTCGTAATTTCAAGTCATTAAATAACGAGTTATTTCGTTTAATGATTGTTATTGACTTCACCCGTATATCTTTTTCTAGTGTCTGCAGAATGGTAACTGGCTATTATTAGACCAAGTAAATCTTTGCAGTCCAGCAATATTGGATAGATTGAATGGATTACTGGAACCGAACGGTGCTTTAACGATAGGTGAGAAAGGCGTCGACGAACAAGGAAATGTGTTCACTGTCAAAGCGCATAAGAACTTCCGGTTATTTCTTACCATGAACCCACGTTACGGAGAAATTTCCAGGTAATGGGAAAGCATTAATTACTCGACGCTGATTCATTTTTCACAACATATGGTTTTGATTCAGGAAGGTTTAGTTCAAAGAACACATGAAGTGTTGCATTCTTAAACTTTTAATTGATGAATCCAATGCTTACATGATAAATCTTATGTCGCTTTCCTCAAAATTGTGATATATGTTTTCTCACTAGTATCTAGGTAAATCTATCACTTTGCAAGAGCTCCTGCATCCTGCTTCAATACTTTAATACATATTTCTTATTCTGATGATTGCAGAGCTATGCGGAACAGGGGTGTAGAAATCAGTATCCTCACACCAAAGAGCGGGCTTTGCTGCAACATACTAGACACAAGGTCGTTACTGAATAAGTGCGGTATAAAGAAACTGGGCCATCAGAATTTGTTGCTGAAAATTTACGAGAGCTTGTACAACGACCAGCCTAGACTGAATGAAATACTGCAAGTCGCTTCGTTTACCAGTCAACAAGTGGCAAAAGGGTTTACCTTTGAGAGATCATTGCGGAATTCCTGTCAAGAAATATGCGGAATGCTCGAACCGAGATGGAGGAAAGAGGCGTTGAGGAAAGTGGATGAAATTTTGTCAGAAAACCCCGAGAAAACAGGAATATTTTGTTATGATCTAAACACGATAACTCTAAGAAGTAGCGATCTACGAAAAAATTCAAGGTTAGCGATGATAGAGCAACAGGGATTCCTTTTAAAATCTTCCGTAGAAATGTTAAGGTAAGCAAAAATATGAATAGGAAAAATATAGTAAGGAAAAATAATAAAATTCTTCGTAGCCGTTACAGCAGTATACCAGCAATATAGAAATATACAAAATGGGAAAAACTTTTTAATTCTTCTCAGCCCTAAATTATTTTCTTTGCGAACTACTAAATACAATTGAATTTTAATAATTACGATATACAGTATAGCCTACGATGAAGGTTTTCCATCATAATACCGATCATAGTTCTTTAGAGGAAATACAGGAAGTAATGATGAAACTCACTGTTAAATAGCCTAACGTTGCTATAGATAAATGATTAGATAGTTCAACTATCTATCTACAATAGTAATTTCGTATTGTTTAATTTCATTCTTGATTCTATATTTCTCTTACTTCCTTGATAGGATTCACAATTATTTTATATACGATCGGTGGCAAATTTTTATTTTATTTTATCAAATATCTGAACAATTTTACGTGCTTTAAAATACATACGTGTTCCTTTCAGGAACAACTCGGAAAAAATTGATCTGCAAGATCTTTTCGTAGATTCTCCCATAACAGAAACCATGGTGTTTTTGAAACTTCTTTTGCTTGATTTTTATGAACGATCTTCTATGGACGATCTCGAGATTCGACGTGCATGGAGCTCACATATTTTGTCAAACAGTGGATTTAATAACTTGGAGAAAATCAGCGAATCTCTCAACAGAGAAATTAAGAACTTAGAGTTTCTGTTTAAGAACAATTTTGCTTCGGAAATCCCCCTTAGCTTCGTGGAACCTTCCACAGTGTACAATAATTTAGCGATTGCTTTATATCTTCGATCGATAATCTTTGACTGTCAGTCGCAGAAAGATTACCAAAAAAATGAAGATGTTATACATTTGAAAGAATACTCAACTGCCGTGTGTTCAGGTAAAGATTTCTGTGTTTGAAACATTTGTTTTTAGAGCAATTCCTCGCTTAAAGATAATAAGGCATTAAAGAAATTGAATCATCTCCGTCGATATTAGTGTTCTCGGAGCTCCGACGACCAATTTGAGTTGAGCTAGTTGCGTGACATAGGTTCTAACTCTCCGTCTGTTAGAGATAATTGGCGTTTCGATTATTAAGAGAGGTGCTGCTATCGCTATTTATTATTAATGTGAGTGGATTGTAAGAAACCAGTTAACAGATTATATAATACATATCGCTAGCTGAAAGTTTTACTTAACTTTATGTACCTATGAATTCATGAGCTGGTTTTTTATTTTCAATCCTTGATAGGAACTTGTTGCAATTACTGAAATTATTAAGATTAGTAGGCAATAACTACTCTGTTCCTACTACCAAATCAATATCTACTTTGTTCAATTAATGAAACTTTTGATTTATTGTTAGGAAGGCTTTCCAGCAACCTGAAAAATGAACCACTGATAGTCAAATTTGCAGAATTAATCGAGCAGTCTGCGAAAATCATTGATGCTGTACTCCACGAGGAACATTTGTTAATGAACGACAAAGAATACATTGAGTTACGAGATTGTTTAAAGTGGTTTCAAAGATTCCATGAATTAGGATCGATAGAGTTGATTGACAAGTCACGAGGGACATTTTTTGACCTACGAGAAATTTCCTCATCTTTAAAGGTTCACTACAAATGGTTAACGAAGCTTTTCAAAACTTTATTTACGCTTTTAGATAGGAACTCCTGCAGTCCGGAAATGCAGTCAGAATTAGCACGTTTCTCAGAGAAATTTTTAAACATGCTAACCAATGCGAATAAATTCAGAAAGATTCGTAAAAAGATTAAGAAACTCTTATCAATCCCATCGCCCCATTTTTCTGAGGATTCGATGATTTACCACGAAAAACTAAGCACAATCTTGAAAAAATGCGAAATCACCGACGAGGACTTGGTTGATCATTCTAAAACGAGATTAAAAATCGCTTCGCTCGGCCTTAAAGACAATTTAGCAATTAGAGAGAAGTTGATCAACATTTGTGCCAAGGACTTTAAGGATAATGGTGCGAGTGGAGACTGGACTGACAAATTAATGGAATTGGAGGAACTCTCCACGAAGATTGTAGTGCTTAAAGAAATGAATGATAACCGTGACGGATTTAACGACAATTTAACTGACATCGAAATCTGGCCTATCTACGAATTCTTTTTCTTGCTTTTTACATATCGTTTTCAAAGGAAATATTGCGAACAATTTTCTAACGATTTCGTCCAAGAAATACGTGAGAAGTTTCACGAACATTTCTCTAGTGAAGTATGTCAAGACTTGCCTGAAGGTTCTTTGATGGTTCTTAACGAATCGAGTAATAATGTATCCGGAACTATTAATAAGAAATTTGATAAGATTTATGAAGAAAGTATCTTTAAAAAATTTGAAGATATTCCAACCATACCGACACACCTAATTGGCCTAATGAAAACATTAAATTCTGATGACACTTCACCCAAACGAAGAATTCTATTATTTCCCGAATTACTTTCATCAGCTGAAGAATTCTCGGAACAATCTTTTACTGTGAAAAATTCGGATATCCTTTTACATTGGCATAATCACGAAGAGGTTCAAATAGAAGACTGTTCCAGTAATACTGAGGTACATACATCACAGGATTATATGAACGTTAATTATGGTTAAGCTGATGATATTCTCAAGAACATTGCAATATCCTGCAAATTTAATTAAAATCTTAAAGCTATTTATTTGTCTCTAAATATCTTAATAGCAGGAAGGATTTGATGAATTAAAATGTAATCTAATTTCCCCTCTTTACTTATAAGTTTTCAAAGATGCTCACATTAAAATTAGTCTTACCAAAATTAATTGAAATTACCTCTGTCATGTCATCCTATGAATACTTTTGAAACTAAATTTCAACAATAAATCAATACTTTTATGTCAATAATTATTTCAATAAAATAGTACTTATTATTTGTTATTAATAGGATTGATGTCTATAACAATTACTAGTTTAAAAAAAAATAAAAGAATTGTAACATTTTAACTTGTATAATTTTCAGACAAATTTCATCGATAAGTCGAGTCTTTGTAAATTGATTTTCAAAATGTTCTTAACAAAATCTGGAAGCGAGGGGCAAACAATCAACCTTGGGAATTACCAAACTAAAAAGAAATTACTTAAAACAGTGCAAAGTTTACTTTGGAGAAATTCTTCAATTTTAAATTCAAAGGAATTCAATCTATCGAGGAACGATGCGATTCTCCTGGAATTTTGTATAAATTATTATATGTCTGCTGTCACAAGAGTGATAGACACTTTTTCAATGAAATTAAACAAAGAAGAGCAAGACGATTTGAAGAAACGTCTCCTCGAACCAATGAAATCGTTGCGGGAAGTCGAAGAAAAGTTGAAAATTGAAGACACCGCGATGGAAAGAGGAAAAGGCTGGTTGATTCTCGGTTACCTACAAATCTTCCTGTACCATGATATAGGATCCATCGATCCCGTTCAAAAGATCGCTTTGAAGTCAAAATACATACGCGAGAACGTTTCAGAACTGAAATGTTTAATGTGCGTTGAAAGCTTGCAAGCCAACATTCTCGACGCTTCTGCGTCCCGTGATCGAATTCTGTCAAGAGAAGACCACCTGAAGAGATCTTTAATCGAAGCAAAAAATTTTGAAAATTTCCAAGCAGTGAGACCGTCGTCGAGCTTTCAGAACTTGAGAGAAGAAATAGAAAATTTCTCCAACAACATAGGCTCATTTGAGTCAATCTTTCGACAGATTCATCATTTAAACAACGTCGTTGAGCAGATTCAAAGAAAAGGAACCCTGAATTCTGATCGAGAAACGCTTCAAGAGGCAACGATCTGGAAGAACTCATTGCGGAGATTTTCAGGGAAATTGGCAAAGTACTATCTGACTGGCTTTCCTGATCTGGTCACCCCGATGATCTCTGCAATCTGGAATCTGCATCACGGATTGTCGATTTTAATGCAACTAATCTCAAACGCGCAGCATCAGAGCTTGAGTACCAACGTTTATTACGATTTGCTACGCTTTCCAGTGATTGGTTCGTGCCAGGAGAACTATTTGAACCTAGCAAAACTGTGCGCCTCTGAAAACTTGATCTTAAGCTTAGTGAAACAGTTTGGATCGATGTCTGTTCAAAAGTATAGATTGGAAATGGCTAAAATCGCGCTACAGGAACTGGAAAACTTTACGAGTTTCGCTGGCACGAGTTTGCAGTCGCTCTGGAACGAGCTGAACAAAATCTTCCTGAAAATTCGAATTCTTTGGAGGGAACAGGAAAAGCAGAGGGAAAAAGAAACGCAGGAAAAACAGAGTCTCTTTCGAACTAAGTCGGAAAAAGAAGAAGACGAGTCCGATTACAAAGAAACGTTTCCAGGCTTTCAGCAAGACTTCCTGGAACTCGGTGAAATATTCCCAAGTTTTCAGCAGGAGTTTCCAGAATTTCAAAAAATATCAACGAATGTTTCGAACACAGGGGAACGCTTCGTGGAATTAGTATCTTTGAAAGATGCCAGGAAAATTCAAGAAATTCATTGGAATATTTTGAAAAATTCAGAACGCGGTCAATGGAACCCAAGCGCTTTAGAAAGTTTAAAAAATAGATCCGGGAAGTTTGGAAACAGTTTGGAAAATTCTGACGTCTACCATGAGGCTAACTTCGTCGAACCGTTAGCTCGACGATTCGAAATTCTTGGATTCTTCACAGAAACGTTACCAGAGAACCTGTCGTCAAGATTAGTATGCAGTTTAACCGTACTGATTGCACAGAAATCCAATTTTGAGAATAAAGCAGGTAAACGAAACGTTTATGACTTCTATAGAGATCCAAACATTGTTGAAGTGGAGGAATGTCAGCCACTTATCGAAAGACTTTCTGAAAAAATTGACGGTTTCCTAATGGAATGGTCAGAAAACCCAATTTTAAATTCTATCAAACTGATTATCCAGAGGCTACTCAGTTTTCCAATTGATTCGTCATTGTTGAGATTTTTAGTGGGCATCGAGTTACTGTTAACGAAGATTCAACAATGGGAAGAGAATGCTCGTTACGATGTTAGTCTTGCGGAGTTCATTGAATTCTTTGGCAAAAAGATTTTGCATTGGAGGAAGCTCGAAATCTCAAGATGGAAGGATTCGTTGGAGATTCTTGAAGATGACTTGAAAACCGAGGCTTCACGCTGGTGGTTCTTTTTGTTTGATTTGGTAGATCAATATCTTGTTCAAGAAACGGAAGGCGTTGAACTATCGAGAGAAGACATAACAAATATTGAACAAACAGGATATGTCGATAGACAGGGAAATCCAAATAAAAGCGACAGTATCTCAAAGGAAAAAATCACAGAGAACTTGGAACGCTTCTTAGCAGAATCATCTTTAATTGAATTCGAGCCAAGACTTCAATTGATCTATCTTTTTTATCAACATATTAGCCATTTAAAAGAAACTAAGAAACAAAAGCAATTGTCTGCCATATTCTGGAACATTTATCACTACTACAGCCAATTTTCAACCGACGTTGGAAATAAAATAAAAGCCGCGAAAGAGCCCATTGCTAAAAAATTGAAGGATACGATCAAGATTACAAGGTGGAATGATATTAGCTACTGGTCGGTAAAAAACACCGCTGAAAAGACGCGTAGAACTTTGCACAAGTTTGTGAAAGAATTTCGAAAAGGAGTTCAAGAGAATGTTGCTGCTTATTTGACATTGAAGACAAGACCAGAAACGTTGGAGACAAGCATTAGAAAAGATCTTGACTCTTCCACTTTTCTAATAAACCTCCAGTCTGGGAAGTTAAACAAAATTAAGAAAATAGCTCAAAAAGCTGGTCAGTTCTGTCAAAATATTATTGTGAAATGTAATTATTCTCAAATTCGGAAAGACATTGAAATTTTTATAGAAGACACCCTCGAGGAGAGTGTAAGGCTAAAGAAATTGGAAGTCGATAAATCGTTGACAAAAGGCAAACAGCAAGCGCAATTAAAGAGCATACTCCAGCAGAAGAAAATGGCATTAGCGAATTACTTCAAAACATTAACTCGTCTTGGACTTTCGTATCGATTTGGAATCTTAACTTGGAAAAATAGGAAATATGAAATCACAAACTTCGCATCGACGCCGCTGGATTTGCAGGAAATTCAGAAATTTAGATTCGGGAAAAGCTTGAACGATAACATCGACAAAGAATTGATCGAACAATGGTCTGGTTGTGACAAGTATTATTACGAATCCTTGATTAAATTGAATTTCCTCGATGGTATCCTAAATTCTGGTAAAAGCGACTTTGGAATTCAAAACGCTGAACGTTGCCGTGGATTTTCAGCTCATCTTATATTGTTGGCTCATCGACAGAAGGAGACGATCGCTGATTTCTTTAAACATTTCTTTCCGCTTAAAATTCAACTGTTAAATCTCACTCTCATGATGGATGATGCAACGAAGTCAACGAATACATCAAAACCTCCAAACGAGAATGACTTTCCTGAACTACCAGAAAACTTGGACGTTCTTAAACAAAGAGACTTACAAATTCTCGTGCAGAACTTCCAGAAGTTGTTGAAAGTGTTGCAAATATCTACGAAACAGATTGTTATCTTCTTAGAAAGTTATCCAACTGAGTTTCTTGAAGAAGAAAAGTTTCTAGATTTGAATGAAAGTGTAATACCTATTTTGAAAGAAAATAATGTTGTAGAAAATTTACTTACCTCGATGAAAAACTCTTTGGACTCGGTTAAAATTATGGCGGACGAGTTGAACTCGTGGGTGGCAATTTCTAAAAGAATTGAAGAGTCTGGTCAAATTTTCTTTTTCCACCGAAGACATATCGATTTTCTTCGAGTAAGTTACCAGAAAATCAATGAAGTGAAACAAAGATTGATTGATCTTGGCTCCGCTTTTACGGCGGATCATCCTGTCACTGAAAACCTTAATTTCATGATAGAGAGGATTAACGAAAGCATCGAGTACTATAAAGCAACCTTGAATCCAGCGTGTGAAGAATCAAACAGATCTGAAAACTTGGAAGAATACCGAGGAAATTTGGACACCTTAATTACACAAATTCTTCTGGTAATTCAAAAGAAGCTTCAAAGCAGTCAGAAGTCGGGTGAGGAAACAATTAATTCTGAAGATATTTTTGAAGAGAACCTCATGACGGAAAAATTGATAGATTCCTTAAAAAAAACTATCCCGGATTTACGATTGAACAAAATATCACGAATCTTTGGAGAACTACTGCAAACTATTTATCGTCTAGATACTAAGTCTGCAAATGATTGTATGAGGTAAATTTTAATAATTACATTATACATACTTACTATCACAATAATATAAATATGTCATATAAACATGCAATACATTCAATTCGTAATTAGTATGAATAGTACAATACACTATCATATTTTAAGTATTAATAAAATAAGTGCCTAACAATGTACTAAGTTGTGTTAATTTTCTAGATTACTTCTGGAGCATCTACCTCTACTGAAGCAGTACACCTTATTCTTGCACTACTATTTACACGAACTAGTGGCTTCTTTTCGTTTAACGTGCAAGTTTCTGTACCTACAATTAAATGTCTTCCTCGACTTAGCAACGAATGGTTTTTGTCAACCAGAAGATATGACTACATCTGAAAAGGATCAAGAAGGCGATCCATCCCAAGGAGGCATGGGATTAGCGGATGGCGAAGGTCAAAAAGACGTCTCTGATAAAATCGAATCGGAAGATCAATTGGAAGATGCGAAATGTCCAAACGAGGAGGAAGAAGATAACGAGAAAAAGGACACGAAAGAAGAAGAAAGTGGTATCGAAATGACAGAAAATTTCGATAGTCATTTACAGGACCTCGAACAGGACGAGGAAGACAAAGACAACGACGATGGCGACGATCTGGACAAAGAAATGGGCAAAACTGACGAAAATGCTGAAAAACTCGACGAAGAAATTTGGAAAGATGATGAAGAAAACGAAGACGAGGAAGACGATAAAGATAAAGAAGATCAAAAAGAAGAGAAAGGAAATGGGCAGGAAACAGGCGAGGAAGAACTGAGTGCTAAAGACGGTAACGAAGATAAGAATGAAGACAAGGATCAAGAACCAGAACAGGGAGATCGAAGAAAGGATGAAGATAAAAAGGAAATCAATGAATTCGAAGAACCCGAAACGAATGAGGATCAGATAGACCCTTATCATGGAAAAGATCAACCAGAAATCGAACCAGAACCGTTTGATCTTCCAGATGATGTTGATTTGGATGATGAAATGAAAGACGGCAATGAAAACGAAGACGAAGAAGATCCTTTTGATATCGATAAATTGAAACAACCTAAAATGCCAGAAGAAACGGAAGCTGAGGAATCCAAGGAAGAAGAAACTCAAGAAGGGGAACAAGGGCATTCGAGTGACGGTGAAGACGATACAGAAGAAGATGACAATTCAGAAAGGGTTGGAGACAAAAAGAAAGATGACGAAAATATAGATTTTGAGGAAAACAAACAGGATAATTCAGAAAAACAAAGTATGGAGGAGGAAAAGGAAACAGAAGAAGAGAAAGTGTCACCTAGCCTTGATGCAAGTAGCAAGGAAATTGATGGTTCGAAAGAAACTGAATCCAGAAAAGATGGTTCTAGAGATGCAGTAGAAAATCAGTCAAATGAAAAGAATTCGGAAACTACACCAACAGACATTAACGCGGATGATAAGAGAGATAAAGGTAATTTGATGTCTTAATATTATATTTTTATTAAATTTATTTGTTAAGTCATTTTATTTAAAGAAGCATGTGATTCAAATTAGAGAAGAAAGAAGTTCGTAAGTACACTTTTAACAGTAATTTTTTTCCTTGTCATTGAAGGGACTGGTCAATCGCAAACAGAAGAGCATCAAGGCCATTCAGGTTCTAGACAAGAAGAGAACGTTCCTACTTCTGGCGAAGAAAACTCTTCGAAACCTATGGAAAAACGAAGAAAACCGGGTCAAAGTGACGAAAATCGTAGTCTGCTTGATGATGAAATTCAACCGTCTGCAAAAAAAATGAAAACAGCTTTAATGGGTCAGGAACTAGACGATCACAGCGAGGAAGAGAATGACCCTAAACATAGTAGTGCAACTGAAACTTATGAGCACATTAAGAATACAGAAACGTTTGATGACTTTGTATTTGACGCTGCAACCGAAGAACAGGTTAAAAAACAAGCATCGAATTTAGAAGGTACGAAAGTATTTATATGCTTATATTTGTAATAATTATTATGTAATTATACAAATTTATGATTATAAACTAAATATTTAGCATTTTGTGTGCAATCTTTCTGTCTAAATTTTACTCATAGTGAAGTATAAATATTTATACGAGTAACAATGTATGGATTGTATGCTAATTTATTTTTTATTACAAACAAATGTATTTATTAATTGACACATTAACCAATTAATTGAATTCAGAAGAAAATTGCCAAATAGATAATAAACCAGAAGACGATGACATCGAGATGCACGAGGATGATCCAAAAGCAGAGGAAGAAAAAGAGAACCCGGTGAAAGAACATGCTTCAAAGGTTCCAAAAACTAAGAAAGAGAAGACAACAAACGTCAATGGCGAAAGATCGGACGATATAGAAGAGATTGAACTAGGCGGGGAAGTTGAAGGCGAAACGGTGGAAACAACTCGTGTTTTACGTGGAAATGAATCGACTTTTCACATAAAATCACCAGAGACAGAGAGCTTCAATACCTTTGTGGACGATATTGCGAAAAAGAGATCCGAAATTGAAAATATGCTTAGTATGTGGTCTCAACGATCGACGTCCGCTGAAGCAGCACATGCCTGGAGTTCCATAAGCGCGTTAACAGAATCAGCTGCTAGAGAATTATCCGAAAAATTGCGATTAGTATTAGAACCGACGTTAACGTCCCGTTTGAAAGGCGACTACAGAACTGGGAAACGTATAAACATGAAAAAAGTAATCCCATACATTGCCAGCGAATTTCGAAAAGATAAGATTTGGTTGAGACGCACCAAACCATCAAAGAGAGACTACCAGATTGTTTTAGCGATTGATGATTCCAGTAGTATGGCTGATAGTCATTCAAAGGAGTTAGCTTTTGAGTCTCTCTCACTGATCGGCAAAGCTATGACTTATTTGGAGGTTGGCCAACTTGCCGTTATTAATTTTGGGGAACGAGTGAATATCCTTCATCCTTTCGGTGAAAACTTTACCGAAGAAAGTGGTGCAAAGTAAGTTTATCAGACCACATTCCTTAAAAATGTAGAATCTTTTTGTTAACATTTGTTATGCGTAATGTGTTCTATATCAATCCCTTGTCAAACTATGAATTTCTCCAGTATAGATTTAACAAGATTTTAAAGGGAAGAATTTTACCAAGTAATATTGAATCGTTGATTAGAAGGTATAGCTCAAAAAATCGAACTTACAGGTTGATTCAAGAGATGAAATTTGAACAGAAGAAAACAATGATTGGCCAGTTACTTGATTTCACGATAGACATGTTCACAACTCAGGGCAGTTACTCTGATAACGCAAAATTGGTGGCTATTTTATCGGATGGGAGAGGAATATTTTCCGAAGGGACAGAGAAAGTAAACGCAATCGTGAGAAGAGCCAAATTATTGAACATTTTCCTTGTCTTTATAATTGTTGATAATCCCCTCAATAAGGTAAAATATAATGAACTTCGTTCTGAATTAAAAAAAAATCTCTAGATAAATATTTTGACTATAGCATTTGTGATATATTTTAAAAGATACAGTACTAGTGTTGAAACTCTTGATTACGGATTGAATTACTTTTTAGGATTCAATACTTGACATAAGAATGCCAGTTTTCGAAAATGGAAAATTATTGGGTATCCGTTCCTACTTGGACAACTTTCCATTTCCATTTTATATTATTCTTCGAGATTTGGATAGCTTGCCTGTAGTACTGAGTGACGCATTACGACAATGGTTTGAAATTGTTGGCAGAATTGAAACATGAAAACATTTTCTACTGTGCTTCGCTTCTATTCTTCCACTATTTTTATTTACTGTACGATTTTACAAATACAAAAGGCGCATTTAAGTAATCTTACTTTTGCTATAATACCTAATTAGATACATTAGAGTAATGTTATTTATGTATTCAGAATCAATTTAGATGTGATTTGTTCGTACAGAGTACTCTTAATTTACTTAGAGCCGACCCTAATTTGAATATACAAGGTATCGACACAATTTTACCATTGTCAAAGAACCTCTTAGTGGTACTGACTCTAACTTAATGATATGTACCCATTATGATACAGAATCAGGACATAAAAAACGCCAAAGATTCGCCTCTGTAAGAGTACTCTGCACACATGAATTATCCCACAATGTACAAAATATCATCAGTTTCCTCTTGATGGTCTGAATGTTTTTTTATAAAATAAAAATTCATCTAGCTGTGTGTACACCTGACTACTTTTAAACTTATAATCAGCACTCTCAGTAGCAAAATGCCCAAGTTTGTAGCATTGAACTATACTGGAACGCGCCCTAGACTGCCGAGACAGTGTTGCGCACCGAATGCTATTTTTTCAGTAGACACATCCTGCACAGTCTTCTCATGAGAGAAGACTCATGTAACAAGTATTAGTAATAAACTACTGAACAAAATTAGCGGAACGCTTTTTTAAATATTCATGGTTATAAGAGTTTCCAACCGATTTCGGCGAAACTTCGTGAGAAATAATCTTCAAGGGTCTTCTGGGTGTGTGCAAAGTTGCATTGGCGAGGGTTGATGTGAAGGGATTAATTTACCCCCTTAAAGAAGGGGACGTCGAAAAACGTCACTTTTAAAGGTGCCAGGGGTGACGGTAGGGGTTGAAAAAATTAAAAAAAACTTTAAGGACGACCTCTCCTTGATGGCCTCTACAAAATGCACCCCTCAAAATCTCTTTCGGACAAATCCACTCCTCACAACCCCCCACCTCCTCTAAAACCCACAATTTTTAAACAGTCTCAGTTTGTGGCAGATACGCTATTTAGCTTTTCCATTTTACCGCCAAAGTGCGGAGCAGTCACTTTACATGAATTATCATTAGAATCTGAACGTCTACACTGTTAAATACAACATTTTAGCTGCGCATTTTACATTGAATTTTACATTGTGTTACACAATGTCGCCTTTGAATTTTATTGAAAAGGAGTTGCATGTAGTAGCAACTCATTTCGATTTCACATCTTTTTCTACTTTCTTGTAGTTTTTTATGAGGATCTTCTATTTTTCTATGATAACTTCTTGAGACCACCACTTTTTCATGTATTGGCGTAATTTTTCTACTTTGTTGAAGTTTTTTATCGGATCTCACTTCTTTTTAGAAAGATAATTTGTATAGTGAATGACTTTAAATAATTTTTATATTATATGTATATAGTACTTCGTGTAGAGTTCATGGTGCCTGAAACCGCTTATGCTTGCAAGAAATTGAAATGTTAAAGATGAAGTGAGAAATAGGAAAAATATGTCCACTATTAGTAACGCACAATTTATTGTATTAGAATTAAGTTCATAAGTATGCAGAACGCATGGCAGAAAGTCTTGTTGCAAGAAATTTAAATGTTAAAGATAAAGTAAGAAAATTGGAAAAGAGATCTATTGTTTGTTATGTGACGGGGCAGACTTTTCTGCCCGTCACGAAAGCACCCTGATCCCCGGAAGGAAGATGCCATGGTGCTGGCACACCGTAAGGAGCCTCTACAGCTCCTGGGTGCGGAGAGCCGCGAGCCGGCGGCGAGAAGAGCGCGTCGATCGATACGCGATCGATTTAGGAAGAAGGCAATTAACGGTTTGACGGCGAACCGAACGGAAGTTCGAGCGAGCGCCCCGATTACCCGAGCCGCGAGTTCCTTTTTCTTTCGAGCCCGTATCGTGCGTGTGTGTTTGTGGGAGTACCTCCACACCATCCCCAGGAGAGGACGTAACTGGGAGCCTGGGAGCAGAGCCGGCTGTTTGCAGGTAGGGCCCACTGGTTGGGTTTCTCTTTTGTGGCGTGCGTGGGTGCGAGAGTGCGGATCGAACGAGTATGTCCGCAAGCGTGCTCCGGAGCACCCTTTTCATTCGCGACAGGACCACCACCGGATGTGAACTCCGTTAGACTTCCCTCCGTCCGTTTCGCGAATCACCCGCGTAACCTGGCGCGGTTTGAGAACGCGCCGCGTTTCGAAGGAGAGGGCCCCTTCGAAACGCGAAACCGTTAATTCCCGGCATAATCTTTCGATTGTATTTAATTCTAGGGCGGACTATTTGTTTGCGAGGCCCTCATAGAGTTAAGTCGCGCCGGTTAGGTATTCGTTTTTCTTTCCGTCGGATACTTTCTTTTGTATCGGGAATTCCGCGCCGCGTACCCTTTCCGGCGCGTAGTCGCCACACCCTTTCTTCAACGGTGTGTGTACCGCGGAATTCCCCCGCGTCGGTATCGACTAAATAAAGAAATTCGATTAAACGTACGCTGATCAAAGTTTATTTCCCCTTTCGACCTCCCCTGAGTTTCGCTCTTCGTATAGCAGCCGGAAGGACGAAAGTAACGGACGCGTGTACTTGGCACTGGCGCCCAATTCTTACAAATAAATTCATTCGTGGAAATTGTGCGACCGAGCGTGTCGATTAGTGGCTTTCACGGCCGCCCACGCGAGGTACGTAGCAGTTAATATATCTACAGGGTGTCCCAAAAGTCGGGGAGGAGCCGGAAATGGGGGGTAGCTGAGACGATTC